CACACACAGACACACACACACACAAGCAACAACAAAAAACACATTGCCTTTAAATATAAGTGCTTACTTGACGAGGCTAACAGTTACTATTGTACGGACATTTTCCACTTTAAAACTTCAGCCAGAATGTAATCACAACCTTACTTATATCCACTACAGGTGGAGGATCGTTGCACCTCGAGATAAATGCAAAGACAATTTTTAGCACGCTGCTGTTGGCATTTTATGCAGTATGATACATTTGAGTGTGAAACAAGGGGGGGGGGGAACTCTTTTTGACAGTGGCTAGGAAAGATAATTTAAATTTTAACTTTTAAGTATCTTCATGCCTTCTTTATGTTACAATTTATAGCCGACTTTTCTTGATTTTCGCCGCGGCACCCCTAGCATACGCACCGAGTTTGAGAACCTCTGCTGTAATGCCTCGGTCGAGTCAGCGGGCAAAGACCTTGCCAGCTACTGTACCACGCAACCAGATCGCAGTTTCCCCCGCTACGACAGACTTAGGCAAAATCAACTATTGTTTTAATGAGAGAGTTATTTCAGTCCATCGCAGTGTATGCCGAAACGGGTGTAAGGTAACCACTATTCGTATTCGGCCGAAAATCGAATAGTTATTATGTCCACCCGAAGCGAATACAAAACGAATATTCGGTACAGCCCTAATTTGAACACCGGCAAGCACAGTTATATCAAAACACCATTGCATATACTGCAAATTAAGAACAACCTGATGTTAACAGTCTCTTATCTACAGAAGAAGAGAATAATAAAATCAGTTAGAAAGCCACCAAAACCGATGCAAGACGATTACTATAATATGGACAGACCAGAGAAAGTCATTATTCTACGCCTTAGAACAAGACATAGGCGACTTCGCAGCCATATGTATACACAATTTAAAATTGGCGAATCGACCATATGCGCATGTGGATTGGCACCTGAGACAACAGAACACTTTCTCTAAGACTGTCACAAATACAACATACCAGGGCGAAACTATGGGCCAAGATAAACATCCGTGCAAGACAGACTTTAAGGGTCGCTGAGTGAATTATAAAAGACGGTGAAATTCATACTAGAGACAATATTGCAGATATAGATAATCTATGTAAAGCAAACTGAAAAAAAGAAACACCATAAAGGGGTTACGAAGTAATCTGTAGTTCATTGTGGGTGAGCGATAAAGCCTGTTTTGAATGTTTAACTTGACACATTTATGGCGGGTATCTGCTGACATGATGTGCGAACTGGCATGTAATAGTATGAATAAATACAATAGCAACTTAGCAAATATTTATAATTGATTTGTCCAACTGCACCAATACTGTTTACAAAAGGCGTCGACAAAAGAAAATATTCTGGGGGGAAGGAAGGACCAGACCTTTATAGCGTTTTGGGGAGGGGGGTGAGGAGGGGTCTCAAGCAGCCCTAGCCTAGCTTAAGTGTATTATTATTATTATTATTATTATTATTATTATTATTATTATTTGCTGAGTGCAAAATAAATATAGGGATACATTTGAAATGGATAACTAAAAGCGGGAGAGGAGAATTTGTATACTTGTTTACAGGGGTGGATCGATAACATAGGGGTGGATTAGCCCCTTACCACATTTCGTCTTATTCTTCTGCTGCTGCTGCTGCTGCTACAACTTTTATTACTACTACTGCTGCTGCTGCTACTACTACTACTACTACTACTACTACTACTACTACTACTACTACTACTACTACTACGACTACTACTGCTGCTACTACTAATACTACTACTTCTGCTGCTGCTGCTACTACTACTGCACCTGATGATGCTGCTACTATTACTACTACTACTACTACTACTACTACTACTACTACTACTACTACTACTACTAGTACTACTACTAGTACTGCTGCTGCTGCTGCTGCTGCTACTACTACTACTACGACTACTACTACTGCTGCTGCTACTGCTGCTGCTACTACTACTGCTGCTGCTGCTACTACTACTACTACTGCATCTGCTGCTGCTGCTGCTGCTACTACTACTACTACTACTACTACTACTACTACTACTACTACTACTACTACTACTACTACTACTACTACTACTACTACTTCTACTACAGTGTTCCCTATTAAAACGGCGATATGCACATTGTTGTGGTTTCAAAAAAATCATTACCCTTTTTAAAAAAAAAACTCAAGTCCCAGTTTTTAGCGCTCATGCAATACAACTAACTGAACCAATCGAACTGCGGCAAACAAAATGATCAGTAAACAACTTCATGTACAGATCAATACAGTTCTGAAAAGAACTGTGAACATGTGCGCATTGACATGTATAATGATTGGCAGCATGTAGCATTGATAGTCGCCAAAATATCACCTCATTCCATACTCTGTGTTGTTTGGCGCATGTATCTCCCCCTACCCCCCACCAGCCAATCAATCGAGTGCCAATAAGCTCCAACATTCCGTTTCTCACGTATTTAAAGTATATAAGCTTTTCACAAGTTCATCTCTTAAATCATCGTCATCTCCTTGTGGGTTGCAATTTTTTTTTTGTTTTTTTTTTTTTTTTTTGTTTATTTTGAAGCCTAACCCTGGTTCTTGTCAGGGGCCGCAATATAGCCCGGCCATAAATATAGCTTAATGGCTAAACGCGGTTTCCGGGTCCTCTCCGCGGGTGATCCAAATCCACTTAAAACACTTTGTGTCACCGGGTGTTTATCGCTAGTGTAATGTCCAAGTAGAGTAAAATGTACTACTACTACTACCATCTCTTAGTGTTGTCGACCAGTCTATATTGTCTGTCTTTTTATTAATTACTTTAAAATCTATAGTTTCTTCTTCTTCGTATGGCTGGTTTGAAGCAGACATCGCCGATCACGAATCCCAAAACCTCTTTGCCGTTTCATATGTTCAATTACATTATTTATACTTAAACTCAAGCTAATGAAACTTTATGTGTACATCTTTCTCTGTTTCTCTCTGTTGTTTTCCATGTAGGGAAATGTGGGTTAGAGATCAGTTAATGTGCGTCTTAATCCTCGCCGAATTCCCGTCTAGTAGCTTTGGGCCATGCTTTGAGAAAGTGGTAGGTAAAAAAAAAAAAGTAAAGCCGGGAGATGTAAACCAGCGTCATTGCACACGGTTATAAAAAAATAAGTGCTCTGCCACCAGTACAGACGCCTGATAAGAATTGTCCGCCTGTGTCGCCGTTCTCTTGTCACTCTGTAGCTACAGCGACATTCCTCAATTTACCCCAGAGTCTCACTCTGGTACCAATTTCCCAGAGGCTGGGTTAATCAAGTAACCCGGGAGCCACCCGGTTTCGAACACCGACCGTGGGCTGCATCGAGTCGCAGCTGGATTTGAAAGTGGTAGGGAAGTTACACAATGGAAAGGAGAGGGGGGGGGGGCGCCGTCTCCCAGCTTTACATATTTTCAAGGTTTAAATTGGGTGGGGGGGGGGGGGGGTACTTAGCCCTATACACAATTATTTGGGAGGGCAGGGGTTTAGCCCCCCCCCCCCGGTTTAGCCCCCCCCCCCCCACCAACATTTGAGGGGAGGGACAATGGGTCTGGGCCAAGCAGTTCCGGCAGCTATGTCGTTATTTAACTTCTTTTTAGACTTCTCCGCGTCAAATTTTATTTGTCTAAGAAATTCTCATAATTCGTCTTTAGAACTATATTTCTGGATTTTATTACCTTGTTCAGTAAAAAAGTCTTTTGTCAAAACTTTTGTCTGTTGTTTTTGTGCCCCTTGTTTCGTCGTGCTTACTTGTCTTTTTTTTTAATTTTTTTTTATAATTAACTATTAAGATATTACCGAAATAAATTATACATTAAACCCCCTAGCAGTAGAGTAGAAACTCTCTCTCTACCAGCAGGTGACATCTGCACTAACTTCAGAGCTGAGGCAACTGCCCTCCTTTCTGCAGTCCAACATCTCATCACTCAAGAACACAGAGGGCACACAATTTTTATACTTAGCGACTCATTGTCTGTTCTCCAAGCACTATCAAGCAAAAAACAAGACAAACTAATTGCAGCTCTAAGGGCCAACATTGGCTTACTCTCAAAGGAAGCAGAACTGGTCTTGCAGTGGATACCAGCCAACTGTGGTATTCAAGGAAATGAGAGAGCAGATGAGTTGGCAAAAGCTGGGAGTAATCTTCCACAACCTCATACACCACACAGCTACAAGGAAACCCAAACAGCGCTTAAGCAGTCTTTTAAGCGGGAGTGGAGAAGGCAGAATGGAGATTATAGACCAGAAAGTGACAGCATAAACAAACTCAACAGGAAAGAACAAACATCAGTTTTTAAAATTCGGACTGGACACTGTGGTCTTCGAGCACACCTGTACAGGATAGGCATAAAAGAATCTGCTGCCTGTGATTGTGGAGCAGAAAGACAGACCACTGAGCACACACTGCAGTACTGCCCTTACCTCTCCCAGCAAAGACTGTGGATCTGGCCCAAGGGAACCACGTTGCAGGAGAAGCTATGGGTGGACCGGTGGCGACCTTAAAAGCACAATTCTATTTGTAGACCCAGACGGGTCTCAGTGTTTAGCATGACTGATGTCGAACGCAGAAGAAAAACAAACCGAAATTATGTAATCTTGCCGTCCTTTTTAGGATGAAATTTTTCTTTATTTGAAGCCCCACTCTGGCTCTGGTCAGGGGCCACAATATAGCCAGGCCATAAATATGGCCAATTGGCTGAACGCGGTTTCTGGAACCTCTCCACGGTGATCCTCACCCACATGGTGGCACATTGTTTCATCGGGTGTTTATCGCTTGTGTGATGTCCTGGTGGGGTAGAAAATCCGTCAGTCAGTCAAAAAACCGAAATAAATTTATTCCGTAAGGATGTTATGATAAAAAGTTTCATTATTTCTAATAGGAATGTTCAGAAACAAACCAAGATTATTTGAACTGTTAAGAAGACGACCACTGCGTTTCCGACAGATGTTTTCTGGATGATCATGAACTTGACAACAGAACGTCATGTCGTATCCAAACAGAAAAACTCACACTTTAGACTGTAAACAGGGCGCCGTGCGATCGGTTAGATTTAATGGTAATTATAATTTATTGACTTCTTTTAACTCTTTGAGTCCCAGGGGGTTTTGCATTTATGATTTTGACTGTTAACAAATGCAGCACTGCACTTTAAAACAAACCACACAACTGCAGCTGATGTCCAACATACACATATCATACATGAAAATAAACATAAATGGATAAGGATTAATATTAGCATATTGCTACAACAAACAATTATACTGTTAGTTAGTATTTAGTAGAGAAAACAGTGACTTAGTTTGAGAGGTGAGTAAATTATGAACAAGTTTTTCTCCACTTACCCAGAAGCTGATCCCAAAATTCTTGATATAGTATATCAAAAATGCATCACAAAGGAAGGTACACCACTTATAAGTATGCACAGCAAATATTAAAGCAAAATGTGCAATAGTTGTTGTTCCATAGCAATTTTAATAACATTACCATAACACATCAAAATATATTCTTCAGTGGCACAAACAGTGACTTTTTTAAAAACAATTGAATTCCTCACATAAAAAAAACTGTAAAGGTACTGTAAACATGTCAACCTGTTCATAGATATATATCTATGGTTTTAGATTATATGGATAGTAGTACTTGAAGCGCTGACATTTGGACTAGCTGGTGTCGCGTTACGAGGTGCTTCTCTTGTGTTGCCATGGCAGAATGAGTCAGTTTTGTCCTCTTAGCAGGAGGTAAATTATGCACACAACCTCATCAAAACTTGACTCGTCAACGGTTTGGGGAAATTTCATGTTGCTAGTATCATTATCCAACTCCACATTACTTTAATCGATCCACTGTTTTATCAAATTTGATGATTCTAAAGCAGTAAATTGCTTTGATGGGCGTGAAGACGATGACTGATCGGACATATTGTTTTCAGACAATTGTTTGGTAGCGTAGTAGACCACACAAATATCAATTTAAAGCGTTAAAAACTCACCAGACCCAAGCGGATGCACTCCACGTGTGTTCACTTCACACTTGAGAACCTGAAAGGAAGTTTAAATTGAGCGGTTCGCGTGTAATTACCGATAAGTGGTAAATTAAAAACCGTCGCACGTCATGCGCTGTTTGGGCCGCCAGGCAGTAACCAGTAAGCGCGTGATGCGTTTCTTGGGACTCAGAGAGTTAATAAATAATAATAATTAATAACAGTAATTCCTTTTTATTCACCTCAAACAGAGGAAATACCGGAGTTTCCTGGAAATCATTAATTGTAGGTAGAGGTGCTGTTACGGGTTGGGGGTTAGGATTAGTCGGTATCTTGGGGCGGTCGGGGTCGACGAAGACCCTAACTCTAATCAGACTAACCTTAATCTCATCCACTCGAATATTGGACTTTACCAGATACTCTGGGATTTCCTATGTTTGGGGGGATTTAAAAATAAAATGGGCAAGGAGGTCCTCTCTATGATGAAGTGGTTTAGCTGTTTGTCTCATGCTCTGAAGTTCATGAGTGCAATTCTAACAGATTCCTGGGGATCATCACTAGAACTGCTGAGGTCTTGCTTTGCTCAGCGCTCTAGGCAGACAGGGAGTCACCGTGGCCGAGCGGCTAGACGCTCGCCGCGGATCGGAAGGTTGTGGGTTTGTTCCCTGGCGGAGCCGGACAATTTTCAAAAATGACCTTGACTCCCAGGTCGACCCAACCTTGAGTGGATACCGGGAAGTAGAGGCGACCGGCGTGATGCTGACAACATCACCCATCTTGTGCCAATTGGTCTATAAAAATATAGGTCTAGCCCTATATGCCCTATACGCCTACAGGCGTGGAAAAGGGTCCTTTACTTTACTTTACTGGGCAGACAGCCAGCTGTCCTGCAGAAAGAGACCCAGCCATTTGGGAGAACCTGGTGTTGTGCAGGCTGGACATGAATGGTACAGTTATTGAGGTGGACTCATGGGAACAAAAATGCCATAGACCGTGTTCTTGTTTGGAAAGGGCATATCAGGAAGGGAATGAGAGTGAAGGAAGAAATGATTGCAGAACGGATGAGAGCTGAGCATCAGAGAAGAAACACACTACACACATTTTTGACTGAAGTGTGGTCCGGAAATCCCATGCTTTAATTATGGAAGACTTCTTAATGCGAGCGGGTCTTGCCCACTCGTCCCATGCCTCCTTATAGGGCACTATAACACTGTCTGGAAAGACAGTAAGGTGCCAGTCAATCAGTGTATTGCAATGACATGGATCCTCTGGACTTCTTTAGTAAATCTAAATAAATATTGCAGTAATTATTAAATGTATTCATTATAACTTAAATTTTTCATTGTCATCTTTTATCAGGTGTTTCACTTGGGGCTGAACTCAGTATTTCGTTCATAACTCAGACACTAATAAAGATACGTCAACAAAATTTGGAATGTTCTTACCTCTGTTCATGCAAAGTCTGCTGACATCATAACAGGTGCTGAAAATGGTCATCACTGGTGTCCAGGCAGCATTAGATGCAGTATTCCATGTTGTGGAAAGTCTGTCACAGTATGTCAGATGCCACTGCTAGACTGGCATGAAAAACTGGCGGTAAACATGGAAAGCATATAAAGGGATGCGACAAGGTCACACTATGATTTGCTGCCTGGATGTCAATGATGCCCATTTCTGGCACTTATTATAATGTCAGCCGACTTTGCGTGAACGGAGGTAAATCCACTGTATGTTGCCTTATCTTTATTAGTGTCTGACTTGTGAACAAAATACTGGGTTCCACCCTGAATGAAACACCTTATACTTCGAACTTCATAAATGTTCATATATCATTATATATCTTTGCTGTTTTCAGCCCGTAGTCTTCTTGGTAAATTCTTTTACAGTAATATTCCTCCACATCATCCTCATAGACCATCCAGACTCATTTGCGGTCAGTTCTCTTAGTCTGTCACTGGCTCTTCAACTGCTGATCAGTTCAGGTGTGAAGATATTCACCAGTGCCTCTCTTCTCATTATGTAAAGAAAGAAATTTGTTTTTAAGGATTGCTATGATGTTTTACCTGTATTAACCTCTTCAAGGCAGTCACTGCACAAGGCAATCAGAGGCCTAGAGTTGTGGTCTCTTCTGCATCCACCCTTTAAAGGACAGTTGGCATGTTCTGTTGTTGTTTATAGCTAGGCTGCAGTGTTTGTGCCTTTTGGCCCAACACATTCAATTTCAGTGAAACATTAATTAGTTGCCTCTTAGGGCATATTGTTGAGGGCCAGTGGGTGTATTCCTCCCCCCCCCCCCTTCTTAAAATCAGACCCTGAACATATGGTGAAAGTTCTGGTCTCTTCTTCTTCTTCTTCTTCTTCTTCTTGTTCACCGGCTGTGAATTCCGGCGGTAAGTCGCGGTTGTTCGTCCAAAATGGACTTTTGGCTTTTACCTTGACCTGAGTTTTGCGTGTACATCCGTTTTACTGGCTTATTTGTTTGCAGTACTCGTTCCCCGCCTCTCCGGCAGATGTACTCCGACTTCGGAGGAAGACGTCAAGCATATTTCTAGGTTGACTGTGGCCATTGTTTTGTGTGGGTCGAGATGTTGCCTCATTTGTGTGGTGTCCTCTTTGACTTTTGACAGGTGTGGCCCCCGGCATGTTGTCCTTAAGGCAGCTCTATGTAGAGTTTTCAGCCCTCAAGGGAAGGCAGGGGCAGATCATAGGCATTCCCCGCCATCCAAGGAGGCTTCCATGACTGCTTAACCTCACAACCGTGTATTGAGCTTCCCGCGCTACAAGGCTGCGCTCTCCGGAGATCAGCGGGGAGCAGCCCGCAGGTCTAGGACGTTTGTGGCCACACAAATAGGTACATTCTTTTTCATCTTACGTTAGACACCTTTAACGTTGTTTCAGCTGTGCCCTTAGTACGACAAAATTGGGAAGCAAAAAGCGTCAGGTGTGGCTTCACCTGTTTGGTCCCAACACTCGGGCGAGTTGGACCAGTGGATACGGACATTCAGACTTTTTCCTAATCGGTACGAATTATGATCGTCGGACTCTGAGCTTGCATGTGTGCCGTGGGGTATAACTTTGTCGGACATTTTTTCCAAACCAGCATATGAAAAGTTGCTGCCGTGGCGTACCTCAGCGCGGTGACGACGACACTGAGGATTGACAGAGGATGTACGTAGGTAGGATCTTGCTGCGAGAAGTCGCCCACAAGAGATGTTACTCGTCTTGGCTGCGGGTAAAGCTCTCGGTCAGGGTTGAGTCTCAGCAGCACAGTTTTAAATTCCCTCCCGAATTTTAACCAAGAGTTGTCATTTGATGGTACATTTAGCAAGCAATTATTGAGTTTTGTTAGACTTTTCACCCATGCGTTTGGGGGCGGGCTGGTGAGAGCCAGAAAGGACACTACACCTCTGGGGGCCACCAGCTCCGAGATCCCCTGCCAACTCTGTTAATGCTCATTTGAGACATTATCCGTGGCGCACGACGGGGACGTGCAACAGGAGTCTTGCATGAGGTTCCGTAAAACCAGAACAGTGAAGGACTGGCGCCCGAGTGGGGTACGGAGTATCTCCTTATACACCTCACATCAGACTTAACTTTGCCTCATGCCTGTGACCGAAATCACCGCGCCACATTCTGGTCTCAAAAAGCGATTTTTGTTGCTTATTCTAAATTGTTATATTTTTTTCCACATTTGAGGATTCAATGTCAAAAAACAGAACAAGTTTAGTATAGTGATTTTTTTCTGTCTTTTTGTGGGGCCAACTTTTAAAATTCTAAAAAAATTAAGAGGTGAAGAAGAGACACGGACTTAGAAAGGGCGTGCAATGAGAATATCTGAGAACAAAATAACTAGAATGTTTTTATACTGGTACCCCACATGTCAAAGGAGTAAAGGCTAGACGAAAAAACACTGGAGAAAGGTCAAGTTGAAAAAGATTGGGAAGAGCGGGGTGAGCTGCCTAAATAGCAAAGGAAAGGATGACTAGGCTTGGTTTGGTTGGTGGCCTATACTTCACTGGGGGATAAAAGGCAGAAGAATATTTAAAGCTTTCAAAACTGAAAATCAATTTCAAGGGTTTCTAAATCAATCCAATTAAAAATTGGTATCAGGAATATTTTTAAAAAATAATGGCAGCTGGCCTAATATATACAAATTACCCATCATGTGCCAGTTGGTTTTGGTTTATAAACATATGAGGCCACGAAAACCTTCGTCAGGAACTTGTTGAGTAAAAAAAACTGAGTTTTATTTTGTTTGAAAAATTTACAGTGGAAGGGAATTACTGTCTGACCTGCGGCAGTGACAAAACTATCAAGTTGTGGAACCCTTTGCGGAACCTGCACCTGAAGACATACACAGGACATGGCTATGAAGTCATGGAGGCCCAGAGTTCGAGTGACAACTCACAGATCTGCTCAGGAGGCATGGACAAGGCTGTGGTACTGTATGATGTTTCGACAGGCCAGACTGTGAGGAAATATAGAGATCATGCTGGTAAGCTCTTTCGTTCTTTCTTCCATTTTGTCCTTCTTGATTTCTGTCACCCTCCTACCAACATTTGTTTGACTTTCCTTCCTTTCATGTTCTTCCTTCCCCTTTCATTGTCCATCATTTCTTCCTCCGTGTCATGCTTATCATAGATGTCATGGTTGACTGTTTAGGAACTCCAGAGATCATATGGACAAGGGTAGGGTTTATTCAAAAAGACAGTTATACTCTGTTACACTGGGGAAAAGAGGGTGGGATTGCATTGGATGAAGAAATACAAGCACAGCAACAGTGTATATATGTTTTCGCCTTCGGTTTTCCCCCTTCAGATTTGCATTCTGTAGGATTACCATCTCAAGGTTGAAAATCAAACAAGGGTGAGAATCAAACAGCATATGATCCCGGAAACCCCATTCAGCCATAAATCACATTTATATTGGGGCACCACAGAACGTCTTTGCATTGGAACCCACAGGGGCATAGGAATAAAGGAAGGCCAAAAAACACATGGAGAAGAGAGCTGGAGAATGAGGTTAGAAAGATTGGGAGGACATGGGGAGAGCTCCATGTAATGGCGAAGGATAGAACGACTTGGCGTGAGTTGGTTGAGGGCCTATGCTCCATTGGGGGATAAAAAGGCAGAAGAAGAAAGAAGAACACAGAACGGTTATGAAGTAACCTGTATTTCCATTGTTGGCAGATTGAACAGTAAATTAGAAAATACTTGCAAAGATAGGATATAGGGGGTTGCTGAAAGCTAGCTAGATGCTTGCTTGCCAGTTTGAAGGTCTAGGGTTCAAATCCACACTGTTGACTTGCCTCCTAGGTCGACCCAGCCTAAAACTGGTACAGGGTAATGTCCTGGAAAGTAAAAGTGCTGGTATGATGTTGACCACATCACCAATTGAGTGCAGCATAGTTCCAGCACCATATTCTTGTTATGCCATAGGCGTGAAAGACGGGCTTGTTTTTAGTTTGCAAGACAAGATCATGATTGGCCAGTTCTGCACCAACGTTTTGTGAATTTATTTATCACAAACTAGATGTGGTCAAGGCCTTTTGGGAGCAAGTGAACAATGCAAAGGCATGAGCAGATTATTTTTTTTCTGAAGAGAATGGTACAGCTAGGTGTGACCAGAGTATCTAGTTGATACTGTACACTCAGAGAAAAGGCAAGATGGACGTACGAATCAAACCTGAATCGCACTTAACCTTCCTCACCTGGATCTACACACCTGGTCATGCTGGCTTCAAGGGTAATGAGTGAGCGGACCAGCTGGCAAGCATGTGGGAAGAAGCATGGACAGAGCAGATATCATCCACACTACGCGCTGGGAAAATGACGAATCTCTGACACTAACACGATTGCATGACATGAGAGTAAAGCATGATGAAGCTTGTCTGTACTGTCTTCAAGGCAGAGATAGGGGACATTATAACTTACCTGTCATGGGAACAATAAGTAGAATCACCTTGACGTGGCTGCTGCATCAGAGGACTGAACACACGAGGGAATGCCCAGTGTGCAGGGATGTCGATTGCGATAACATAACATAAATCAGATTGCTACTGGCACCATCAGAATTGAAACTCTTCTTCCAACATTGCTGAACATGGGAATGCTCCGATCTTGGTGATGTCAGTACTTAGCTGAACACTCAAGATCGAATATATGGACTGGAGTTGTCATACAAGGCCATTACAAAAAGAGAAAGAGAAACAGAAAATCCAACTTGATGAGTCAGAAAGTGAAAAGATCAACAAAATGTATGAGAGAATTCTTTGATACAGGAGGAAATAAATTACCAGTAAAAGTATTCTTCTTCTGCATTCACCTTTCAAAACAAAAATTGCATTTTGTTTTGTGATTTACACAAATCACAGCTAGGCTGTGATATCAGCCTTTTGGCCCAAAATGTCCTGTTTTAGCTAGGCCTTAATTAGTAGCCTTTTGTGACACGCTTGTTAAAGGGCAATCTTGTTAATTTTCCCCAGAAAAGTGGCCTTGGAGCTCACAAAGGGTAAAAGTATTCTTAAGTCAGAATAAGGAAAACAATGAACAATATGAAGAAATGAAATGACCCAGTGATGACACAATATCAGTAGAAACAATAACAGTATTGGAGTATTTTGTAATAGATGGTCTCTAAAATTTGCAGGGATATACACAGTACAGTTTTCATATTACAAGCCAGAAAGTATCTTCATTTAGCTTAAAATCTTCTACTTTCTTTTATCTCATAATCCCATCTGGTAATCATAGAGATGCCACATCGGGGTTCATAGTCTTCATTCTTTCCTCCTGATCTGCAATATATATATATATATATGAACTTATGATAACGTGTCTGTTTTGCAGTTTAATCAGTACTGTATGTCTTCTTCTTCTTTGTTTTGTTCTTTATTTTATTTTTTATTTTTTTTTTCTAAATTCTGTTTACTTGCTGATTGCTTTTGTGTATATACATCATGTCATACGGTAATCTAACCATTACTGTTTTCAGGTACTGTGAATTGTGTTAGTTTTAATGAAGAATCAACAGTCATACTTTCTGGCTCCATAGACTGTTCTGTGAGAGTTTGGGATATACGGGGTTCAAAACACAAGCCAGTACAGGTAATTGTTTGGTTTGGGAGAAAGAGGATTTGCTCCCCTTCTTACTGTTTGTTTTCTTACTTTCTTTAAAAAACAAATTTCTGTTTTGTATTGTTTTCTTTTGTTTTATGAAAGGAAAAGGGGGGGGGGGAGAAGGAATAGGGTTAAACACAAGAACATGAGAGGCTGAGTTATATGCTGGTCCCAAGCAACTCACCATGTTTTCATGTAACATCGGGCTATACGTGATGCATATTATTTTTCGTGTCTGTTTTATCTCAGTAGTCGCCATGGTATAGTGGCTATAAGCTTGCCTGGGGATCCGGATGTTGTTGATTCAAATTCAGAATGGAATCTGATTTTTTTTTTTGGGGGTGGGGGGGGGGAGGACTTTGATTCTCATATCGCCCCACCCTTTAATGGGTACCAAGTAAAGTCATGGGAAGTAAAGGCGGCCAGCGTGCTGTTGACCACATAACCCTATAAAATATAGGTCCAGCACTATCTGCCCAGTACACTTAAAAAGGCGTCCTAATCTCTCTCTTCTCTCTGTCTGTCTGTCTCTCTGTCTCTTCTCTCTGTCTGTCTGTCTCTCTGTCTCTGTCTGTCTCTCTGTCTCTCTCTGTCTGTCTGTCTCTTCTCTCTGTCTGTCTCTCTCTGTCTGTCTGTCTCTCTGTCTGTCTGTCTCTCTGTCTGTCTGTCTGTCTCTCTCTCTCTTCTCTCTGTCTGTCTGTCTCTGTCTCTGTCTGTCTGTCTCTCTCTCTCTCTTTTTCTCTCTATCTGTCTATATCCTCTTCATGCCTTTGTTGACACACAGAGCATTCACAGGTGGTTGCCATTGCTGCCAGTCTGCTGCTTCACTGCTCATGGTATCCCAGGACAGTTTGCACTCCTTCATTTCCCTTTCTGCTATTCTTCTCCAGGTTTTCTGAGATCATCCACATACCATTTGTCCATCTGCTGTCCACTGGGGGTGTTTTCCTTGTCAAAGTATGTCTTTCTTCAGTGGCTTTATTATTTCTTCTTCTTCTTCCTGTCCACCGGCTGTAAACCCAGGCAGGAAGTTTTGGTAGTCTGTCTGCCTCTTCTCTTTAGTCTTGTTTCAGAACCCGACTGTTAAGTTTACATCCATTTTACAGATCTGACTTATTTGTGTGCAGACTGTTGGTTCCTGTCCTCTTAGGCAGGTGCACTCAGATGCCGAAGGAAGCCCCCAGTGAGCAGACTTTTACAACATGCTTGTTAGGGAGGCAGTGGGTCTTTTCTTGCTTTTCCCCATAATGGGACACTGGAAACCCACATGGGGAAGCCTCTCGTTTGATGCCCCAGAGTAGAAATGAGAATTCAGCTGTCTCATTCACTGTTATCCATCTCTACAGAACTTATTTCCAGATATGTAAATAATTGTATACAAAATATTGCATTTATTGTAAAAATTTAACATGAAGTTAATTTTTATTGATCATGGCAGTTAAAAAAGTCGTCCCTATGTGGGATGCAATTTTTTGTTATTTAAAGCCTCGCCCTGGCTTTTGCCGGGGGCCCTGAGTATAGCTGGGCCATTAGGCCTTACGGCTGAAAGCGGTTTCTGGGACCTCTCCATGAGTGATCCTCATCCACATGGTGGCATTTGGTGTCACGGGGTGTTTATTGCTTGTGTGATGTCCTGGTGGAGTACGACTAGAGAGAGAGAGAGAGTATTGACCTTGGCTCCCAGGTCGACCCAGCCTTAAATTGGTACCAGGTAAACTCCTGGCAAGTCAAACTGACCAGCATGATGTAAAACACATCACCACTGACTGGTCTGTAGAAATATGTGTCATGTGACTTATATTTTTATTTCTCCTTCGTGACTTCAGGTAATGGATGAGGCTAAGGACAGCGTGACATCTATCCAGGTATCTGACCATGAGATTCTTACCGGCTCAGCTGACTGTTGTATCAGAAGATATGATCTCCGAATCGGCAGGATGTTTTCTGATTTTGTGGGAAGTGAGTTGTAAAACACCTACAAACGTTTATTAATGAGGAATAGAGGGAATGAAATGGTATGATTTTTAGCCACAGGCATGTGTGAGAGTTAAGTCCCTTGTGATGAATATACTCTGATACTTTGTAACTCACTTCAGGTACTAGTGTTGGATCCTCATGCAGGACTCCTGCCACACGTCCTTGTCGTGTGCTACGGATAATTGTCTATATCAGCCTTAATTGAGCTGGTAAGGGACCTCAGAGTTGGTGGTCCCCAAATTATTCCTTGATGTATGTTGTGGCATTAGTATTTGACTCCTTCATATCCATTTAATAGTTAAAGTAACATCTTCTGCAGTCACCTTTAAAAGGGCGGGTTGGTACTCTGATTTATGGTTGACAGCTAGGCTATAATAAATGCACCTTTCATCACAATACATCCGATTTCAGCGACCTCATGATTGGCCGTAGCTGGACTTTTTTTCAGAAATGATCTTGGCTCCCAGTTTGGCCCAGCTTTGAGTGGGTACCAGGCATAGTCCTGGGAAGTAAAGGCTGCCATCATGAGCGTTGACCACATCACCCACCAACTGCCAGTTGGTCTACAAAATATAGACCTAGCAGAGTATGCCTGGTGGTGGGGAACAGGGTTCTTTATTTATTTATTTTTAATTTGTTTAACCTGATTGACCTTTTTTTTTTTTTGTGGTTACCTCTTGTAACAAGTTTGTTACTATTTCTCTTAGAATGAGATACTTAGAACCCATTTGGGAAGTTGACTTCTAAAATCACACAAGTAAAACTAACAATGTGTACAGGATGTTATAAACCAGCTGGATCATTTGTTAGCTGTTTATAGTTGTACTACTAAGCAGTTTATTGTTCAATAGTTTGCCATTGCTTTCTCAATGTTTAACTCTTCATACCCTTTTCAAAATCTGATGCCAAAGTGCCTACAGCCACATTGAATGAAGTATTTCAGAGTTGTGATCCATGTTTGTGACCTCTAAGCCACAGCGTTATCCTTGGGACAGACAGAATTAATTGACTCATACTTCTTCGTCTACAACCAGAAAGTATTCCTGCGCTCTCTGAAACTGTTAATTTTTCTCCATGCATTTCAGAAACAGTCACCTGTGCCAGATTTACGCGGGATGGTCAGTGTGTGCTGGTTGGCTCCACTGATGCCTCAGTGAAGTTATTTGATAAAGACACCGGGGAAATGCTCAACGAGTAAGTGTTTCAGAATTATGAGCTTCTCTGTCAGCTACGTATAGATTTATGCTAATCATAAATCACTTTAAGCTGTAGTGGCTAGATGCTTTCCTGCTTACCCAGTAGTCTTCTGTTCAAATCTAGTAGGATGTATTTCGGAAATTACCTTGGCTCCTTGGTCGACCTCAGCTACGATGGGTCCCAGGTAAAGTCCTGGAAAATAAAGATGGTCGTCATTATGTTTAACCTGTCCTTGAGTTCATTTCAGATTTTGTTTGATGTAATGCCAGTGTTAGTAACTGATATTGCTGTATATTGTAGGAAACTCACACAAAAATTGTCACACACTATGTAGTTACATGTGTGTGTGTGTGTGTTTTTTTTTTTTTTTGAAAATTAATAACTAAACATTTTTTTAGATGACACACTGTAGAGCTTACTTTTCCCTAAACTGCTCAGATTCTGCAAGCATACAGGCAGATAATTAGTTAATTGCCAAATTATCCTCGATTCACATTGGAAAAGTTTATAATCACTCGGATCCCATCGTTAAGATGTCCCTCAGCATGTGGCAACTGATAACACCAGTTCTGTGTTGGTTTACCATTCTTCTTTGGCCACCTGTATAGTGTTCATGTCTGGCGATACCTCTTTTGACTTGAAGGAAGTTAGCATATTATAAACACTATGAATGCATGTCTGTATGAAAGTAAAGAAGGGAGAGAAACAATTTGAGAGAGTAAATAGAAAAGTTAGGCAATTGAAAATGGGAGGTGATGGTGGTGAAAGGAAGGGACTGTTTAAGGGTAAAGATATAGTAAAGTAAAGGACTCTTTTCCACGCTTACAAGCGTATTGGGTATATAGGGCTAGACCTGTATTTTATAGATCAAACATCACTTGGTGAGTGATATGAAGGAGGATATATTTTTTAAAAAAATTCAGTGGAAAGTTGAACTAATTCAGCGTGAACTAAAGAGTGAGACCTCAGCATGCCCTCTCTTTACAAGACATGTTGGATTGTTTGATGTTTGCTTAATCGTTAATTGATTTACAAACATAAGAGTACTGTATGTCCTCAGATATTTAGGACATAAAAATTCCAACTACAAAATTGATTGCTGCCTGAACCACAAGGACACTCATATTCTCAGTGGATCAGAAGATGGATGTGTGTACGTTTGGGACTTGGTTGAGGTCAGTTGGTTTTTGTTTTGGTAGTTTTTTTAATTATAGGTAATAAACCTGAAACCTAGGATGTAGCATGGACTCACCCACCCTCACTCTCTGAGGTTCTCATGTCAGAAACATGGACAGTTGTCAAGGACTGTCTCCTAACCTCAAAGATACATGTTCCTCCCGTGTCCCCTCCCCCACCTTTCCTATTTCCCCTTCTTCCTCGCCTTTTTAAAAAAAAATGTCTTCTCAGATATATTCTACAGGTCTTCGGAAATTGATGAGGCACTGTAGGATCCCTCACAATGAAAAATCAACAAACTCAGCAGAAGCAACATATGATGACATTAGATCCACTTCTTCATGAGAATAAACTAACAGATACATGTGAATCTAGAACAGGAATGTGGCATGGATGGATGCCTTTTGTCGCCTTTATTAATCTTACTGAACATGCATTGGATTAAGGAAATAATAACTGCCTCTATACAAGAACTTCAGAGAAATTTCAGAGTGGCCTGGTGATCTAGATTTCACATACAACATTGTCATTCTTTTTTTTTTCCACACACAAAATCAGACGCAAGATTGCCCACATGGGTTCCGGTGTCCCATTTTGGAAGAAACAGAACAGGCCCACTGCCTCTTCTTCTTCTTCTTCGTTCACCGGCTGTGAATTTTGGCGGAAGGTCCGGGTTAATCGTCTGCTTGAACTCTTGGCTTTTACCAGGACCTGAGTTTTGCGTGTACAACCGTTTTACTGGCTTTTGCCGTTCCCTGCCTCACGGGCAGATGTACTCCGACTTTGAGGGAAGATGTCAGTCCTATTTCTAGGATGACTGTGGCCATTGTTTTATGTGGGTCTAGATGTTACCTTATGTGTGTGATGACCTCTTTGTCCCTATCTCCACAGGTGTTGCCCCCGGAGTACCCCTTTGGGGCAGCTCTGTGTGGAACGGTTAGCCCTCAAGGAAAGGCAGGGGTAGATCATGGGCATTCCCCGCCATCCAAGGAGGCTTCCATAAAAGCAGAGCCGATACATAATGCTCTAGTTCTGGGCTCACCCAAGGAATCGTCACGTCCTGCACATAACTGCTTAACCTCACAACAGTATTAGGCTTCCCGCTCGACACCGGCTGCGCCCTCCGGAGATCAGCGGGGAGCAGCCCGTGGGTTCTGGACTTAGTGACCACACAGATAGGTACATTCTTCTTCATTGGACGTTAGACACCTTAAACATTGTTTCAACTGTGCCCTTAGCACGACAGTATGGGGACGCATGCTTCACCTGTTTGGTCCCAACACTCGGGCGAGTGGGGCCAGTGTATACGGACATTTGGACTTTTTTCTAATTGGTACGAGTTATGATGATCGGACTTTGAGCTTGCTTGTGTGCTGTACTATCTGACTTTGTTGGACATTTTTACCTAGCCAGCAGATGAAAGATATCGTTGTGTACCTCAGCGCGGTGACGACGAGATCCCCTGCCAACTCTGTTAATGCTCATTTGAGACATTATCCGTGGCGCACGACAGGGACGTGCAGCAGGAGTCTTGCATGAGGTTCCGTAAAACCAGAACTGTGAAGGACTGGCGCCCTAGTGAGGTACAGAGTATCTCCTTATACACATCACATCGGACTTAATTTTCCCTCACGCCTGTGACCTAAATCACCGCGCCACCCACTGCCTTTTAACATGCTTGTCGTAAAAGGCAGCTGACTTATTCGAAGTTTGTTGAAATCAGGTGTGTTGGACTGAAAGGTGGAGATAATGCAGCCAAGCTGATAACCACAATACAAAATACCAACTGTCCTGTTAAGGGCAAACACAGCAGAAGAAATTGGCAAGACAAACAAAATTTATAGAAAGCCACACAAAATTTGGTCTGTAAATTGTTACTCAAAGACAAAGAAAATGAGAATAAATCATGCAAATGATCTGAATTTGCTTGGTGAAACCACTTGAGGCATTGAAATTATACATATATTGAGGTGGCAAAGTAGATAATGTTGGCAGAACAGAATGAGTTATTAAAATAGAATACAGAAAGCAAGAGGAACTTTAATAACACTTTAAAATTTATGAAAGTCAAAAGTAATCAAACTTGGAATATTCAACGTCATATCAGTATTATACATATAAGAAAGATGGAAAACAACTAAAACAATTATTACTACAGATATCATTAATTGATGCCTGCACAGAATACATCTAACATCTTTGACAGAACCATTCATGATCTCATGGAATGAACTAAACAAATTTTGATGAGGAAAAGGTGCCAGATAGGATCTTCAAGAAAGTTAATTGTGTATCCTCAAATTGTTGCAGACTAACCCCAGCATTTGTTGGCCGTTTGGTTTGACTAGGTAATTTTAACATTCAGTTGTTTGCCATTGCTTTCTCAACAGTCAGGTCTGCGAACTATGGTTGAAGTCAGCACAAAGCAGTCAGCTGCCAGGCTGCAGCTGAATAAAACTGGATATTTTGGAATTACAAACCATGTTTGTAACCCCCAGACCATGAGTGCCAGTAAACATACATATGACAAACATAGAGAAAAATGGACAGTATTATAACTATAAATTCTTTATAAACCAGAGGGCCAAATAAGAAATGGGAAACCTAGAAGAGAAGAGAACTTGAGACAGCTGGTTATTGTGGGGAGGTCGTGTAGGGAGCTGAGGGAAGGAGGCTGTGGTCTGAGTTAATTAGGGGCCTTAGTAGTAGTGCATTTTACCCCACTAGGATATCACACAAGCGATAAACACCCGATGACACAAAGTGCCACCATGTGGGAGAGGTCCCGAAAATTGCGTTCAGCCATTAGACCATATTTATGGTCGGGCTATATTGCAGCCCCTGGCAAGAGCCAAGATGGGGCTTCAAAATAAAAAAAAAATTGCATCCCACAAAGGGATGACTGGTTTATGTACCGATTAGGGCATTTTCTTTATTGAAAGATTCAGAATTGAAGCTGGTGACAGTTACTTCTTTTTTTTTTTTTAAAGACTTTTTCTTTCTTTATGAGTCTTTGATCAAAAATATGGTATATAAACTGTCATTGCTGTTGGTTTTTTATAATTTTTTTAGGGCAGTGTAGAAAAAGGGTCATGAACTGATGATAAAAAGCCTCATGGCTAGTGCAGTGGGCACAGACTGAAGATTAGTATGAATTTTGTTGTTGCCCCTGACAGAAATAACCTCAGCAAGGGTTGAACTCAAATGTCTTGCATCCCCCTGTGGGTTCCAGGGCCCTATTATGGAGAAAACAAGAATAGACTCACTGCCTACCAAAAAGCATGTCGTAAAAGTCGACTAATTGGGAGCTTCCTTCAAAGTCGGAGTGCATCTGCCTGAGAGGCAAGGAACCAACAGTCTGCACGCAACATTCAGGCTCTGAAACAGGACTGCAGTCCAAAAGTGGTTGGAGAACCAGAACTTTCCGCCGGAGTTTACAGCCGGTGAACGCAAGAGATTCTTCTTCGTGTTCACAGACTGTAAACTCTGGCGGAAAGTTCTGGTTGTTCATCCACTTCTGAACTGCAGTCCTGTTTCAGAACCTGAGTGTTGCATGTGCATCCGTTTTACAGATTTGACTCATTTGTATGCAGACTGCTGGTTCCTTGCCTCTCAGGCAGATGCACTCCGACTTTGAAGGAAGCTTCCCAATTAGTCGAATTTTACGACATGCTTTTGAGTAAGCAGTGGGTCTATTCTTGTTTTCCCTATAATAAGGCATGGGAACCCATACAGGGAGCTAATATTCTGTATATAAGAGTGAACATTAGAAGTAAACACAGTTGATATAATTTTTTTTAAATAAAATAAAACTAAGATCTTACTTTTTAGTTTATATCTTTTATTCCACAGGCCACTCTGGTGCATAAATTAGATCATGAAGTCAGCCGAACAGTGCACTCATTGTCATTTCATCCGCAAGATCCAGTTTTGCTGACAGCTTGCGGTGACAAAGTGATTGTTTGGGAAAGCAACGAATCGACTGATACTTGACTCTCTCAGCACCTGAAGATCTCAAAGCAGCCATTCAGGACTGACAGAAATGACAATGGCATTTTTATTTACAGAGCAACATCATGAATGAAACCGACTGTGTTGTTTGTTAAAATAAATGGCCAGGTTTATTTACCAGACGCAAACCGAATTTGGAAATTTCTTTTTTCAAATATACTTCTTCTTCTCCCCATTCACTGGCTGTAAACTCCTGTAAAACTTCTGACTGTTCATTCACTTTTGGACTTTAAGCTGGTTCCAGAACTTGAGCTTTTGCGTGCACATTCTTTTCACGTATGTGGCTTATTTGTATGCAGATTATTAGTTGTTAGGTAGATTGCTCTGTCTTTAAAGGTAACACTCCTAATTAGTCTTCTTTTACTACGTGCTTGTTGGTGGAGAAGGAGGGGGGAGGGGGAGTGGGTCTACTCTTCAATAAGACCCCCAAAACTGACGTAGGGATGAAATATACTGAATTTATACTTATGATCACAATTGGTGCTTTGCTCTGGACACAAAGAGCTAAACCTTAGAGAGGAAGGTGAAAACGATTCCAGTCCAAAATGGAGATTTAGGCGTCACAGAATGTTTAACTTCAGTTATTTTTGCTTCTGACAGCACTTTACTGATGCAGTTTCCACATATGGACGGAAGTCTATGGTTTCGCTGCCTGAGCTACTGAGTTTGGTGTTTGGTGCAGCCATGTGAGCTGTATTTTTCATGTGGAATGCCTTTCATTTGTGCAGCCATTGTGTCAAGTTATTCACAATGGCTGGTAGTCTGTTTACGTGTGGACTGGTGAAATACCCTATGTAATAATTGTACGTGTGTATAGCCACCTTATTGTGACCGAGTACTTTCATCAATGACAAACTGCATTTCTGGTGGTGACTGTTGGCTTTGGTGGCTCTAGCAACTGTCATATGCATTTACCGTGTGTGCATATTTCTGGATTGTGTCGGGACTAATTGTTTGTTCACCAGTTTTTCAAATGTGACAGTGAGAAACATTTCATTTGATTTCACTGGCACAGGAACTGAGTATGAATGGGGTGACCCAGTTGAAGTGAAATTGAAACCTCAACTAAGATTATACACATTTTTTAAATAAACAATAATGAGAACATAATATATTAGACAAAAGGAAACAAAAGCAGATCTTATTGTTTAAAAGATATTGATATTAGAAATAATAGAATAGAATGTATTGGAGAAAGGAGGACAGAATAAAGTGACAAGATTTGTTTAGAAAACAAGAAAAAGTAAGTGCCGCTGCAACTTTTCATGTTGGGATGGCATCTTACTGTCTTTATTGGCGATAATTTTATACTGTGTTTTAGAGAGGCATGTAAATCATAACCTCTGGTTCCCTTTGTGGGTTCCGAAGCCCCATTTTGGGGGAAAACAAGAATAGACCCACTGCCTGCCCTGAAGTATATCCTAAGAGTAGACTAATTGGGAGCTTCCTTCAGAGTTGGAGTACATCTGCCTAAGTGGCAGGGAACCAGCAGTCTGCACACAAATGAGTCAGACCGGTAAAATGAATGTACACGCAACACTCAGGTTCTGAAACAGGACTGGAGTCCAGAGGTAGACGAACAACCATAACTTTCCGCCAGATTTTGCAGCTGGTGAACGCAAAGAAGAAGATAACCTATGATGATGGCAGATGTGATTAGCGAGACCCACTCATGTTAATATGAATTGCAGCACAAAGCCTGGACAGTCTTACAGAGACCATATAGTACCTATCCAGTCTGATCCCTCACTCAGCCTATTTTGTTAACTCCAAAGAAAAGGGGACGCCACTTCGTTTGGAACAAGGCCTGTTGCAAAAGAGCAGTGCTCTGTCCATCCCAATTAAATTCTGATTTTACACTGTAAAAAAATTAAGTAATGAGACTGGTGTTATTATGGTCAAGACAAAGTATGCCTGCCATCTTGTGTGGTGTCTTTTGCCTACTCAAGAAGAGCATGTTACTGGTTAAATTGTGACACAAGCCAGGAAGCAGTTTTCTTGCACAAATCTTTCATTACAATTTTACATGTCTCTCAATTAAAATTGAATTCATCTGCTATTATCCTCACTGTAAAATAGTTTTATTTTATCAATTCTCTTACTTTTTCAATGAGTTCATTAAGGTGAACAGAAATTGGACATCCCGGCTTAGCTTCATCTTCAATCATTTCATCAGTTTGAAATTGTTAATTAATTAATTCATTCCTTCATGAAGGCTCAGGTGGCTGGGTCACACATGGAGGATGGCAGAGTCCCTAAGGACATCCTTTATGGTGAATTAAAGACAGTTAGAAGATGTCAAGGCCGACCTCTACTACGGTATAAAGATGTGTGCAAGCGGGACATGAATGATACCGGTATTTAGGTGGACTCGTGGGAACAGAATGCCATGGACCGTGTTGTGTGAAGAGGGTATATCAGGAAGGGAATGAGAGTGAAAGAAGAAATGACTGCAGAAACAATGAGAGCTCAGCGTCTGAGAAGAAATGGACTAAGCACAAATGTTGACAGCAGTGGTCCTGAAATCCCATGCTATCATTGTGGAAAACTTTTCTTGACAAGGGCTGGTCTTGCTAGTCACACTCGTCATCACCATGCTGCCTCATAGTGCAATATAACACTATCGTCCAGAAAGACGGAAAGGTGCCAATCTGATCATTCATTCATTCATTCATTCATTGTCCTTTTGTGCTGTCATGTGTCACATAGGGCTTGCTGTCTACTTCTCTATTCCATTCTATCCTGTGCAGTCACCTTGATAACATGGATGGAATCTAGTCCAGCAGCTTTGGCCTCTCTCATCAGCGTTCACCTTGGGGTTTCTCTTGGACCTTATTGTTTCCTCAGTCCATCTATTTCCCATTTGGAATTGTGAATACGGTACCACCTGAATGTCAGTGCACAAGATAAGCATCGATTACCAAACCATAAACTTGTCCATCCATTCCGCACTTGTGCAGTAGAACTGCTTTCAAGGTTAAAACAGAATTTAATGTTAGCTCTTTACTCCATCCTGCATTAATTAGAATGTTTCCTGGATAATTATGTTTTTACTCAAAAACCAAACCAAGCGTAATAGGGAAATTTGGGAAAGTAATGGCTTTTTTCATGTTACTACACTTTACTGAAGCAATACAACAGCAATAACAATATCATACAGACAACGGCGCCTTCTCCATGACAACCAGCAGCATGACGATGGAGGTGATGGCAGTGACACAAGCGCTTGCCTGGCTTGAAACACAAAAATACACCCGCGTGTGTATACTCAGTGATTCAATGAGTATGATCCGGAGGGTTCAGGCAGGTTCAGTGCGAAGACAATGGCTTGAATCATTACAGAAGTCCACTGTTCATGGAGTCACCTTTATTTTTGTTCCGGGACACGCAGGCGTCAATGGAAATGAAAGAGCTGACAGGTTGGCTGGATCCGCTATCACTACCGACGGTCAGCCTATGGATCATGCTGATATTATCAATGCCCTCAGAGAAATGGGAAGAATAGAGGACTTTGGTGGCAGTGAATCCACATCACTCGCCAGAATGGCAGACTTGGGAATTAAGATCGGCACAGCAAAAAACGAGACGCACACCAGCTACGCCAGAAGACTTGTTAATCAACATAGAACTGGTACTATTAGCCATCGGACGTTGGGGTTCATACTGAGGGGAGGATCTGAGCACCTATGGACATGTCCGGAGCGCAATGAGGATAACCCAACTAACTAACTAACAGACAGACACAAATATTGATAACAATAATATGAATAAGACAACAATGTAAATGGATTATTTGGTACTGAGGCAGGACATGGCGCCAACAAATTGATTAGTAAACGAAAAAATCACAAAGATACTTTATACACCAGTTAAGACATTGTTGAAACAAATTAAGTGAGATGTGACCTTTTATAACAACTTTTGCTGAATATCACTAAATCAGTTGTGAAATGATAATTGCCTATTTCTAGAATGGTAAATGCTAATCGAACTGTTATGCTCCAGATAGAACTTGTAACACAGATATGAGTGACAGAAATTTAACATTTCCTTGAAATGAATAGTTTCTGAAAATATATAAGAGATTGGCGTGTAGTGCTATTAAAAAAGTATTATTTTTTTTCAAAGATCCTTTTTCATGCCTTTAGGCGCATCGGGTGCATGGTAAGATCACCCCCATATTTTTACAGATCAATCGGCACTAGGTGGGTAATGTGGTCAGCATTACCCCGGCCGTCTGTACTTCGTTTGAATTACGAGTGTGTAGTGCTATAACAGAGCATCAATTTCTGCATGTCAAAAGCATATTATTTTATTAACCACATATCTCTAGTCGTCCGGACTCTGTTTTGCCACTGGACCCAGATGTGACTCAAGCGAAAGAGTGAGGTCGACGACACTGCGCACCTCTTCCTCACTTGAATCCAAGTCACCGCGCAAGTCTTTCATCACCAACTCATTCCCCGTCCTTAATGTCCAAGAATTTTTCGGGCCCTCATCGACCTCATCAGTCATCTTCGTACTCATACTTGATGAGAAAGAGTGGTCATCATCATCTTGATTGGCAACACACACATTTTATTAACCATCATCATTTGACATACCAAAAGCGCATACGATCAGGCACGCCTTTCTGGAGCTATTTATAGAGTCGGCTCAGGCTTCTACTATTAATACTTCTGCTCTTATGTGCTAGTGCTTCCATCAATATACCTCCACGACCCCAATGAGTCAAGGGTTATGTTATGTTACTTCTGCTGCTGCTGCTACTACTACCACCACAAATCATCATCATGGGTCCTTTGCAGAATGTCACTCTCATCACGGTCTGCCTGAAAGCAACACGGTCTCTCACCAGCTCTCACCAGCTCTCCCGCCTCATGCACTTTCATACTCAAGGAGTCACTTATATCCTCAACACCACTACCACTATTTATTATTTGTTCGCCAGTAGATGAGCGGTTGGGACACTGTAATGTTTA